CGATATTATTATTATTATTATTATTATTATTATTATTATTATTATTATTATTATTATTATTATTATTATTATTATTATTATTATTATTATTATTATTATTATTATTATTATTATTATTATAGTTATTTTCTGATTTCCCCTTCAGCAAGGCAGGCTACTTGGATGGGTTTAAGGACTTTGGCCCCAATATTTTGAGGGAACTGTACAAAGAAAAAAAAGTTTGAAAACTGTGGGGGGCTGAAAGTAGAAAGTGGCCAGAAACTTCCTTTTGATTTTGAAAATTTGGTGAGGTGACAAAAGGTGAGTTGTTGCCTCTGCCACAATTTCACAACTTCTTCTTCTTCTTCTTCTTCTTCTTCTTCTTCTTCTTCTTCTTCTTCTTCTTCTTCTTCTTCTTCTTCTTCTTCTTCTTCTTCTTCTTTTCCCCCCTTTCCCTGGGGAAACTTTTATTTTATTTGCTGGTGGACAATCTGATGGGTCTGATGATGCACCATGGGGAATGAACTCCAGCAGTATAGAATTTCTAAAGAATTATTCTCTGCTATGACTACTTTTCAATCCTTGTTTATGAAACAGAAACTTATCTCTGCATTCATAGTATGATAATAGTAGCAGTGTTGGTAGTAGTAAAGGAAAGTCTTGCTGGTGGCACCATTAGTGAGAATACTAATAGTTGCAGTAGCAATGGATAATGCTATGAGCGGTTGGGTGCTTGGATGAGATTTTCAGAGGAGTACTAGTTGTCTGTCTTGGCAAGATTCCCCATGCTTTCTCTAGATATCTGATACCAGAGAGTTCATAACAAGACTGAATTTATCTTGGAGTTGTTAGTCATCAAAAATGAGCAAAACTTTTATTTCATCACAGCAACACCTGTCAAATGTGAAGTCTTTCCAAAGAGGGAACACAAAGGTATATGCTCTAATCTTTTTGCACGTGTTGAGCAAATGTGTATACAACACGATGAGAAAAAGAAATAGCTTCCCATGCATTTTCTATGATTCTTAAAGTTAATTGCTTGCAATTCTATGCTCTCGTTTGCCCCCCTACCCCCAAATAAAGATGTGAGACCAGAATTATGGATTAAACATGGGCCACACTTTATTGAAAACAATTAATGTTGCCAATCCTTTGGCAAAGGGGGGTCCTGACGTAGTGCGGACTGAGGTTTGAACACATGGGTCTGAATGGATGCTTTAACAAACAAAAAACTGGGCAAGTTCCTGGCCCGAGCTTTCATAGCTGTGAAGACCGCGATAAACCCGGCTATGGGATATTTATTTTTATTTATTATTGGATTTATATCCCGCCCTTCTAGACAGAAATCTACTCAGGGCGGCTCACGACATCGAACAAATATAAATAACAATTAAAAACTACAATAATAATAATATGATCAAGATGGGAGAATAAACAACAAAAGCAAGAAAATACAATCAAGAATTGGTGGGAGGGAAGGCCTGCATAAAGAGCCAAGTTTTTTATTGACTCTTAAAGACACCCGGCGAGGGTGCCAAGCAGATCTCTGGGGGCAAGCTGTTCCAAAGTTGAGGGGCCACCGCCGAGAAAGCCCGAACTACAATAATAATAATATGATCAAGATGGGAGAATAAACAACAAAAGCAAGAAAATACAATCAAGAATTGGTGGGAGGGAAGGCCTGCATAAAGAGCCAAGTTTTTTATTGACTCTTAAAGACACCCGGCGAGGGTGCCAAGCAGATCTCTGGGGGCAAGCTGTTCCAAAGTTGAGGGGCCACCGCCGAGAAAGCCCGAATTCTTGTTCTTTCTTTTCAGGCCTCTCTCGGTGTCAGGCCCCTCAGCCGTCTTTCCTGGCTCTGGCGAGTGACTCAAGTAAATCTAGGTGGGAGAAGGTGGTCTGCCAGGTATCGAGGCCCTAAACCGTTTAGGGCTTTATAAGTCATCATTAATACTTTGAAGTGAATGCGGAAACAAATGGGCAGTCAATGCAAAGCAGCCAGAATGGGAGAGATATGTTGGAATTTTCTTGCTCCACTAAGTAATCTGGCTGCCACATTCTGCACCATTTGAAACTTCCACATCAATCTCAAAGGTAACCCCACGTAGAGCGCATTACAGTAGTCTAATCTTGAGATTACAAGCACATGGACCAGAGTGGTGGGGGCCCCACCATCAAGATAGGGATGCAGCTGGGCAATCTGCCACAGATGGTAATTGGCGGAGTGGACCACTGATGCCACCCCCCAAAAAAGTGAGGGAGTTTCCCAAGCTGCCAATGGAGGGGCCACCCACCCTCAGGACCTCCATCTTGTCCCGGTTTAGCCTCAGCCCGTTCTCCTGGATCCATTGTAGTACGGCCTCCAGGCAACACTGAAGGGACAGAAAGGCATTCACTGTGGTTGGAGAAAAGGAGATGTAGAGCTGCATGCCATCAGCATATTGATGGCACGAAGCCCTACACCCCCTGATGACCCCACCCAACGACCTCATATAGATATTAAACTGCATTGGGGAGATGATCGAACCCTGTGGAACCCCACAATTGAGACTCCACGGGGCCAAGACACTCTCCCCAAGCTGAACTTTCTGAGGACGGTCCCCCAAGTAGGATTGGAGCCAGGCAAGCACCAGGCCACCGATTCCCAACTCGGAGAGCCTCCCCAGGAGGATACCATGGTTGACGGTATTGAAGGCCGCTGAGATACTGAGGAGGACCAACAAGGACACTTTGCCCCTGTCAGCCTCCCTCAACAGGTCATCCAACAGTGCGACCAGTGCTGTTTCTGTGCTGTGGTGCGGCCTGAAGCCCGACTGGAATGGATCCAGGGCATTGGTTTCATCCAAAAGAGCCTGAAGCTGAAAATCCTCCACCAAAGTGCCCGCATACCGCTTCCAGTGTGGGATAGGTGAAAAATCCCTGCCTCCAAAGGCCAATCAGGAAATGGGTAAAAAAATTCCTATCTGGCCCCCAAAGGTGACCAGCTAAACTCACACTAGAATATAGGGCAGGCGGGCGGGATGTCATCAAAGGAAGAGGAAGAGGAGGGGGGAATGACCCCTAAATAACCTACCATTCCCCCCTCTCCCCAGAGTTACTCACACGAGACTGTGAGTTCTCATCTCATCTGGGGAAGAAGGCAAAGGCAAGCCACGCTGCTGAAGCGTGGCTCTGCAGCGGCTTGATCATTTGACAGAGCTTTTCTTTTCTTTTCCACATATGATTCTGATGAGTTGGAGTGGGTGAGAATAAAACCAAGTCCTCAAAATATGATATGAGATGCATTCAAGAGCCCAGGCAGGGATCCTTGAATTAGTTATTGTGCCATTATTCTGACAGTTGTTTCTAAAAGCACATCATTAATGTTCTTATGGAAGTTACTAGTTTAGATCTTGCTGTTAAAAAAAAAGTCATTACTTCTGAGTAAACCGGCTTTGAAGACAAAACTGATTTTTCCCCAAATAGCACTCTGTAGTACCCATCTGAATGTTAATTTATTTTTATTAATTAATTAATTAATTAATTCCTTTTTTTATTTATTGCTGGTCATATTAAAATCCTTTTCGTTTGGGCAGAAATGCTCACATTCATCTTAAATCCTCACTTTAAGCAAAACTCTTTGGCAACTTATCAATGTCCCAGGAACTCCTCTTGACCATTAGTAATGGTTATCAAAGCTTTATTTTTTATTTATTTTTGGCCTCCTTGTCTGGCAAAATCCTTGGAGTGAGGAAGCAGACTCTGTATTTGCTTCCGTGTATCACTTTAGGCCAAATTCAATAGCAACTTAAATAACAGTTTTTATCTGTCTTCCTGGGAGACATAAGGAGTTATGCATCTTACATTCACAACGTCCTGCTAGCTAATGGTAAACTTTCAGCACTGACAGCTACAGCCTACTCAGTGAGGCAATGTTTCAAACAGGACAAAATCTTGATTTTTTAAAAGTTAAAAAAAGAACATCCCTCTAATTCTCACTGCATCCAGTCTCTTTAACAACAGCAAGACTAAAAAATAGAAAAGGAACTCATCCCAAGATCAATAATTGCTCATTTACAGACGAGATTTGATTCCTTGTATATTATAAATCAGCATTTCTCAAACATCTTCAATCCATGCACTCTTTAGAGAAACATAAAGTTTTCGTGCCTCAATTCAAAATGGTCTCCGTCAACACTTGAAATTTTAAATAGCTGTAAACCAATAAATGCTTTCAAAAATTTAGAAATTCAGATTGCTATTTCTGTTCTGCCTTTGCATTAATTAAGGAGTTGTATGGTACACCATAAGATGATGCAATAAGATATACACTAAGGCATCAATCAGTATAAGCCACAACCCCTGACTCACTGGGAGGCTGTATTTGTCATCCAGGAGGGAGCTGCAAATGAGGGCAACATGGTGGCCACAATTTTGGACGCTAGCTGTCTCCTTCCCAGAAGTCAGTGTGGCAACATGGGGGTGTGGCAGCCCTCTGGCAAATCAGGGCATTGGGAGTGGGCATCTCCTCCCACACATGGTCTGGATTGGACGATTCAAATCTGGACCATTTCTAGAGTTCTACATCTTCTCCCACCTACTCTCCCTTTGTTGTATTGGGCATTTTGGTTATCAAGTAAAACTGGTTGTACACTCTATCACAGCTTTTTTTGGAGGTGGTTCTAAGCCTGAGGATGGATTGGAGTGGATGGGGTAGGGCTGAGCTACCCCTTGGCCCTCCCTAGTGGATTCCCTTTTAGGAGACTGTGAACTCTCCCCTGTAGGGTTGCCAGAAGGAGCCACACAGTGGCAAGCACCCATGTCATTAACTCCAGTTTCCAGTTTCATTGGTCATAACATTAATTGGGAGATGGGTCAGTGGATGAGATTGATCCATCATCCATATAAGCACCATATAAGCTGTTAGTGGCAGCTGTTATCCGTAAAGCTGTTG